ACCAGAACGATGGAACTGGTCCATATGGATCTCTGTGGTCCAATGAGAACATTAAGCAGAGGTGGTAAAAGATATGTGATGGTGCTTGTTGATGATTACTCTAGGTTTACTTGGACATTATTTTTAACATCTAAAGATGAAGCATTTGACATGTTTACTTCTTTTGTTAGAAAAACTCAGAAACAACTAGGTAATCAACTTGCATCAATTAGGTCTGATCATGGAACTGAATTTGAAAATGCTAAGTTTGCTGAATTTTTGCATGCTACATCATAAATAGTTGCATGACTAGACCTCTTGTTAAGAAGATTCCCTATGACTCACTTAAAGGGAGAAAGCTAAATATATCCCATCTTAGGGTATTTAGATGCAAGTGCTTTGTGCACAATAATGGCAAAGACTCCGTAGGTAAGTATGATCCCAGAAGTGATGAGGGAGTATTCTTGAGATATTCTTCACATAGTAAAGCTTATAAGATATACAGTAAAAAAACTATGTGTGTAGAAAAAATGTATATGTTACTTTATTTAAACTAACATTCTTTCTGAGAGGCGGGAACAAGATAATGAAGAGATTGGGCTGATAAGAAATTCAAATGGTGAAACCACAGTCTAGCCTGAAGATGCATCACAGGAAGGAACATGTGATGGAACAGGTCCTTCCACCCAGGGCAACATGACAAGAGGAACTGACTAGAGAGGAACTGATCCTCAAACCTCGAGGGAACCTGTCCATGAACCTATTCCTCAGTAACAAAACCAGGAAGGAACATCCAAAGAAATTGACACTCCTATTGCAACATCCACGAAATTGGATATAGATGAACCTGGTTCATCTGTTGATCAGAAGTTGTATAGGGGAATGATTGGTTCTCTTTTGTATTTTACTGCTAGAAGACCTGACATTGTTTTCAATATAGGTCTTTGTGCTCGATTTCAGGCAAATCCAAAAAAGTCCCATTTGACTGCTGTCAAGAGAATATTGAGATACTTGAAAGGCACCACTAACCTTTGCCTTTGGTATCCAAAAGGTAGTAATTTTAACCTAGTGGGATATGCTGACGCTGACTATGCAGGTTTCCTTGTGGATAGGAAGAGCACCTCAGGTATGACACACTTCCTTGGTTCATGTCTTGTGTCATGGGCTACCAAAAAGCAAAATTCAGTGGCCTTATCTACTGCTGAAGCGGAGTATGTTGCTGCTGCTTCATGTTGTGCTCAATTGCTGTGAATCAAACAGCAATTATTGAACTTTGGAATGGATGTTGGTTGCATCCCTATTTTTTGTGATAACACTAGTGCTATTAGTATGACAAAGAAACCAGTTCATCATAAGAGAACTAAGCACATAGATGTTAGGCACCATTTTTTTGAGGGACAACTATGAGAAAAGCTTGATCACTGTGGAGTTTTGTGCTATTGACAAGCAAATTGCTGACATCTTCACAAAAGCCTTAAGTAGAGATCACTTTGAGAGGAACGGGTTGGAATTAGGGATGATTAAGATCACCTAAATGGACTAGTTCAAGGTTAAACGAAAAAAAATTAAAAAAAAATTTGGAAAAATTTGGTTGGAAAGTCTGTAAATTGTGTATAATTAGATTAAATCTTGCTCAGTCTCATACTTTCCATAGTATACTCTTGTGCCATGTGCTAAAATGACTCATTAATCTCTAATGATATTTTCTCTATTTTGGCAAATTTAGACTTACATAAGAGAATTTTTAGTGAAGAACCTGGTTCATCAAGATAAATAGGTATGTTTCTACACTCTGCATAATTTGAAATAATTATATTTGGATCATAAGCAGAGTCCTACCTAATTCCAAACTCCTTTTGGACTTATCCGTTACAAGTGAACCAGTTCCGTTCAAAAGAGTCCCAACCGGATGGAAGTACCTAGATTCTAGGGATACACTCCAACGTCTCTTCAAAACTGAAATTCAGTTTGATTAGACTTCTAAGAGTCTGAAAAGCTGTCGTTACCCCATTAATTAGTCCTCTGTATATTGATCAGCTTTAGTGTATTCCTTACTTCATCTCTCTCAAGCCGTAAAAAAAACAAAACTCTCACTCTTCTTTCATCTTCCAAACACAATCTAATTCTCTTATCTTCCATACCCTAGCCCAGATATGTCGAACACCTCTGAAAAATCCTTCATCACCACCACAGGAAACCACTTCCACACCTTTTACCACTCCTTCAACCATACCAATCTCTAAAAAAAGTAGAGTAAAGATGATGGCTCATAAGATTGTCGCTGAAGGAGAGAAGATCAAGAAAATAACAAGAAATTGAAAGCAGGTAGTGAAGAAGAATCCCAAAAATCTGAACATTCATTTAAGTCTGCTACTAAGGGGGAAGAAATTAGTTCTTTCGAAACTGAACATGTATCTTCTGATTCTAAAGTTACTCCTGAGATAATTTTCTGAAGTTGCTGCAAATTAGATAATAGATTTGTACTGGTAGGATCTATACAAGGCGTTGAGACTACAGAATCTGGAGAAGTTGGTGGTAAAAATAAAAAGGAAAAAGAAAAAGAGAGCAAGGGTGCTAGGAGTGATGTGAGGGGAAAGGGTAAAAGAGTGGTTGATTCTTCACCCACTCTTGTTGGTCTAACAAAAGAAACTGGTGCAATGGTTGTATGGGGAGAGAAATTTACTGAAATAGAAGAGAGCATGAGCAAAGTAGGGGGAAGTGGTGAAGCTGCTGAGGGGTTGGTTCAATTTGGGAAAAAATGTAGATGAACCTGTTCCAATTGAATAGGAAACCCTCGCGGACCTACTGATAGGGCTATAAATGGCTCGAAGACTCATACCATTCCCTATGGCTTTATTCTCACAACTGTACTTGCACATTTCAAGGTACCTATGAAGAAGTGGGTGGTTAGTACAAGCAAGGATTATTTTGGGGTTAATACTCTGCTTGCTTGCGATTATGAAGTCAATGCCACTCCTAAAGAACCTAGTTCATCCAACAGGTACCAGTGAATAGAAAGGTCAGAGCCTTGGTGCAAGAAAGTGGGGCTAAGGGTGCTGAGATTGAAAGGCTGAAGAAGAGGTTGGTTGAGGTGGAGACCGAGAGAGATGCTCTCAGAACTGAGCTGGTGAGAGAAAAAGAGAAGAATGATGGCATTCTTCAAGATATGTTGAAACTCCTCCAAGTCAAAAACCAAGCACCTAGTTCTTCCCAGCCTTAAGCCTCCTAACCTAGTGTAGATCAACCACTGACCCAGTTCGGGATTTTTTGTTGTTTTTGCTCATGTTTCCAATATTTTTATTTCTTCTTATGCTCTGTGGTGGAATCTTATCAATCATAAAGGAAATTCACTGTCTTTTGCTCTAACTGTTTGTTTATATTTCTTTGATAGTTAAAATTCTTAGCTTGATCTGTGATGATTAATTCATGATTGCATTTGAAGTAGCCCCAGTGGCCATGAGTAAGTTTTAAAATCTGGTTATCTCACATTTTATGCAACTTTTCGATGATGCCAAAAGGGAGAAAAAGGTTGTGCTTTACACTTTGAACAGTGATGTTTATAACCTAATGTACCTGGTCCTTGATGATAAGTGATAAAAAGGAAAAATGTTTCTAACATTGTGTTGATGTTGAGCTAAGTTGAAATAGGGCCTAAGCTTATGAAAAGCACAGAGTTTGTCATCATCAAAAATGGGAAATTTGTTGGCCCAAGTGAAGGTTAGTTTTGAAGATTGATAAAGAAAGCTCCGGCATGAACCGGGTCCATTCCTCAGGTGCACAAAAACGGGCAGATTCGAGCATGTGGGATGCACGTGAAGGAGATAAGCTTAACTTGGTGTATTTAATATCTCCTGATCGAAAAGGTTGCATAATTGATAAGGAGAAGGACTCCTTACTCAAAGAGAACATTATCCAAGATAGGGAAGGAGTTAGAAGTTGAGATCAACTAGAACTCTTCCACCAAGGAAGAGTTGCATCAGAACTCTAGTTATTTCTTCATCTACTAACTCTATAAATTGCAGGATGTTCTCATATTACATGTGTTGCACAAAAACACAGAAGTTAAACGTGAATTGAGAGCAAAATAGCAAGGCTTTTGAAAGTAGTTCGTGTGTGATTCAAGTGTGCAAACCTGAAGCTACATGAACCAGATTGAATAACCAGCTCCATAAAGAATTTTATGTGTCTTTCTTTATTTCTAGTTCAATTGTAGTAGGTGTTTTATATTGTACGTTTCAACTTTATCTAGAGGCAATTGTAATAGGTACTCAGAGTATTCAAGTTAGAGTTAACTTCAAGTTGCCGCAACAGTTAGAGGCTGTGTGCTACAACGGGTTAGAGGTAATCCTTAGGTTTACAAAGAGTTTTGTAAATGCTGTTTTGACTCAGTGATTTAGTGAAGTGTTGGGGAAAATCCTACTGAGTAGTAGGTCGTGGTTTTTTCACCTTTTGAGCCGGGTGTTTTCCACGTAAAAATACTTGTGTTCTTTACTTTCTACATTTATTATTCCGCAACAGTAGCAGAAGGAACTCATAGAAGAACCAGATTCTTCCATAATCAGTTTAAGCGAAAAATTGGTCACCACACAAATCACCCTCTTGTGTGGTATTGAAGTATAAAACATCACATGCCCAACCCTCAAAAATCAAAATCTTCAAACTCAATTCTCTTTCCGTAGTTTGTTTTAATCGGTACTGTTTTCTCTTTCCGTAGTTTGTTTTAATTAGTACTGTTTCTTTCTCCTTTTATCCCTTCTATATTCTCGGTAGATGTTACCCTTTTTCTCATCATTAGGAAGGTACATGTGCGAATGCGTGTTAAAATCTTATTATAGGCTCTACAAGAATTTTATCAATTATTTCAATGCTTATTTCAAATGACATAGCAATTATTTTTTAAAAATCAAAATCTTTTGCCCAATTGCCCTAGTTCCTAACTCACTGGCTTTATGTGAAACTCTCAAGAAATTGACATAGAAAGATTTGTTTGCCTTGCTAAAAATAAAAGAAAAAGGTACAAATAGGTCACAGTAATCCTTTAATATAGTACTTAACTTTGAAATTCCATGTGACATGTAAGGTTCATCTTCTTTTTCTTTTTTTAACCCAATTGATACATTTGCTCTAACTTTCGGTCTTAAACACTTAATACCCCATAAATCTCTATTATTGTTCTTAACTCTTCCGTCTTCACAATCAACAATGCTTTTGCTATTGTTGTCTTTTTCGAGAGAAAGAAATAAGAAGTATTGTAAGAATAGAAACGAAAACACTATGATCTAGTCTTTAAAAGTAATATTAGACTTTGATCTGTTCCAAAGAAGCATGGAATGTGATGGAATGGTTGATGTCCTCACCGACATGGATTTTGTGTTCACCCATGAAAATTCTTCGAATTCCAAATTGATCAGCTACGGTCAAGTGTTTGCAGGCATTGATGTTGATGTTGACTCTATGTTGAGCTCCAGCCGGGACATGAACTTTCTCAAACGCGACAAGTTGTTTGGTAGCGTTTGCTGGAGGTGGGGTTGAGAAAATGAGGAGCGTGTGTGTCCCGTCCATGTCCCCTGTATTTTTCACATTAATGTGCAAGTTTAAGTTGAGGGAGTCACAGTTGGTATGTGTTGTTCTCACTGCTAATTTCTTCCTCGTGCTGTTTCCATCAAGAGAATGAATTAGAGTTGGCACTGAAACAATGGCTGGGGCGGAGACTATGCTCTGGCTGAATCTTGTGTAGCTAAAGCCAGCCCCAAATGGGAAAACTACAGGGCCTTTGTAGAATCTGTAGGTTCTACCTGGATAGCCTCTTGCTGGATCGGCTCTCATGTCCATGTTTGTCATGGCTACTTTAGCTACATAATCTTGTGGATACCATGTCATTGGAAGCTTCCCTCCTGAAGTATGAATGTTGTAAGTATTATAGGAAGAGTAATACTAGTAATTACAAGTATATATAGGTGAGGCATATCATATATATATATATACCTGGGTTGGCTGCTCCAAACAGAACATCAGCAATGGCAGCTCCACCAGCTTGGCCGGGATAGCCAACCCACAGTATAGCCGAAACACGAGGATCATTTTTGGCGAATGTAACATCGATGGGGCCACCGGACATTAAAACCAACACGACGGGGCCTCTAGAAGCCATTGCTACCCTAGAAATGAGCTCCTGTTGGTATCCTGGCAGAAGAAGGCTAACTCGGTCCCTAGCCTCGGCTTCGATGGATTGATCGAGCCCCATCACCAAGACAGTGGCGTCGGCATGCCTCGCTGCCACTTCCGCTACTCCAAATTGTTGGTTCCCTGGACAAGCCACCCCCATGCATCCATGCTGGTGAACTGTCCTTGCATATCTTGCTATTCCTTGTAATGGAGAAATATAACCACATGGAACACCTATATATGTAACACATCCAAACCAAATTAAAGAAGAAATAATTCTCGTTATGATAAGTGATGGAAATACCGGAGAATGAGATTAATATTTTTACCAGCATAATTGCCAATCATGGTAACAGTAGCATCTGAATTGGGTCCAATAACAGCAACGGTCCGGTGGCGTTGTGGGGACAATGGTAGAGCCCGCCCAATGTTTTTGAGAAGAACGATGCCTTCACGAGCTGCTTGAAGGGCCAATTGTTGATGGGCCGGAGTACACACATCTCTCGGGCCCAAATTTGCATAAGGCCCATTTGGCCCATCGAACATGCCCAAACGCATCTGGACCGTAATTGTATTTGCTAAAGCATAGTTAACTTCCATTTCTGAAACTTTTCCTGTACGAACGGCCTTCTCTGTGTGGATCGCAAGGAAAGGCCCACAGTCCAAGTCCAAGCCTATAAGACCATAAACTAGTCATATCTTCTGTCTCTGTGTTCACCAACAATGAGTAAATTTTATGTATCTTAGCTTCATTATACAAAAGTCACTATTCTTTTTTTTTTTGTCACACAAAAGTCATTTAACTTTGCTCCACTTATCACAAAAATCATTTTGGCCGGATTTGACAAAGTTCTCACCTGAAAAGTGACGTGACAACCTTAATTAGTGTTTTATACTCCTTCCGTTTCAATTTATGTGAACCTATTTCCTTTTTAATCCGTGCCAACAAGAATGACTAATTTCCTTAATGATAACGCAGTATTTTTTTGGGTTGGTCTCGCTTAATAGCCAACATTTTGACATATATTAGAATGCACTATTATGAAATGGTTTCACTTTATTTAGTCCATTTTTTATTTTGCAGTTTAAGGTATCCCATTTTTGCATTTTAAATAGTTTCGTTGAATGAACTGAAAGTTTTCTTAAGTTGCACTTAAAATGGGTCAAGGCATAGGTAAATCACGACAGGTGCAGAGTATGGAGAAAAAATGAGCTCCATTCGGGCAACTGCGTCAAATATTTTGTGGGTCAAGGCATGAGTTAATACTATATTTAACTTCCTTAATCAATACTCCCTTCGTTTAATAACAGAGTTTAAGAGAAGAGAGAAGACTTTTGAACTTGTGGTGTAAAATGAGGCACATAAATTTTGTACGGCTGTAAATCATTTCATAAAGGTAAATTGTTCCAAATAAGGAAATGAGTCATTCTCTTTGGCACAGACTAAAAATGAAATAGGTTCATATAAATTGAAACGGAGGAAGTATAAAACACTAATTAAGGTTGCCACGTCACTTTTCAGGTGGGAACCTTGTCAAATCCGGCCAAAATGATTTTTGTGATTACCGGTGCAAAGTTAAATGACTTTTGTGTAACAAAAGAAAGAATAATGACTTTGGTGTAATGAAACTAAAAGTCAGATGACCATACATAAAAGTTGCTCACCAACAATAAAGAAAATATTACTATTATAAAACTGACCAGCTTTGATAGTGGCAGCTGCAGCATCTTCAGGAAAACGAGTGTAGTGTTGTTGCTCGAATAAAACTCCAACAGAATCACAATCTGATACGATGTATCTGTTATACAAGGCAACAAAGAGTCAGCCAAAATATTCTTACAAGAAAACAACCGAAAGCCAAAATTTTAGTAGGCAGCATGTGACCAATCAACGACAATATTTTTTATTTTTCCACCATAGTAATTAACTATGATAACCCTGACTTATCTAAAGTCTCGTATCCTCAATTTGTCGTAGAGCGTTACAAGCAATTAGTTCAAATGAACAGAAGAAAATTACATTAGATTACGTTTATGGCACGCCGTCAAAAAGTTGGCAGTAAGTATTTAATTTGTTGGAGAACTTTTATCCTAAAAGTACCATACTACATTATTTAATACTGGTACTTTGTCCTAGCGTATTTGAAACTTGTTGCGTGTAATAATTAAGCTCTCCATGAAGTGATGTAACGAGTGAATAAATGAATGATGATTCACAGTTAAGGTGTTATTATTAGTACATATATATAGCTGGCTCTCTTAAGTGGTGAATCAAACAGGAACAGCCGATAATTTATAGTAAATCTTATTAACCAACAAAATTTAGTGAGTTAGGCCAAATATTTTGATGGATTTCTTCTTTCGCCTATTTCGCCGTGACAAAAAAGAATTTATTAATCATATATTATAGTTTGATGGTTGAGTGAAGGAGAAGAGAGATAGCATCCCAAAAGAGATAGACATCTTATTTCTATCTATAGATAAGGCAACTATTTATTCGTGATATATCATACTTTTTATTGGGAAACAAATTATTGCAATTATGAAAACCTCAACACAAGCACTTTGTAGACATCGGAAATTATTAAAGGATAGGGAGAGAAATTAACCCATTAAGGCGCCATTGGGCACGAATGGTGTCACGGAGGAGTGTAGGATCAGCACAAGATGGCTTTCCATTGATCTGATTGTAAGAGCACATAACACTCGCTACATTCCCTTCAACCACACATGCCTTGAATGGCACATTGTATGTGTCCTCTAAATCCTGCCTGCTTACCTACACATTTTCAAAACAAAATTATAATGACACCTTCAATAGTTTTCTCTTCTTTAATTCGGGAAAGTATGTAAACGTGCATCACATAATACAAGAGAAAAAGATATTGTTAGTAATATAATATGAAAGAAACACCTAGCTAGCTGTCTACATCTTCCGTAGTTTTCAGAAAAAGCTCTAATTATCTTATCAAGATAACGAAAAATTAACTAGCATATCTTTTCAACGTGCAAGCAGACACTTTGATCTATAATTTCAATTCCAAAAAAAATTATTTGTGAGTTATAAAATAAAAATTTAAAAAGTATATCTATAAAATTCAAATAACAACGTACTGAGTAGTTAATTACCTTAGCATTGAAGTGGTAACGATCAACCCCATTCCAATCATCAAGATCGTAGGCAGTGTAATGCTTACAGCAAGCGGCGACCTTGAGTCGGCTAGTGCCACGGCCGCCGCCGCCTTGGAGTCCTTTCACGTAGCTGATGGCATATTGTGCAACCAAATGAGGATCCTCCCCTGGTGTTTCCTGACACCTTCCCCACCTGGGATCTCTTAATATGTTCACATTTGGACTCCAAAACGTTAGTCCTGCTGCTCCTCCATTATACATTGCTCTTCCTTCATCAGAGACCACCTGGTCCATATTTAACAGATACCATGTTACATCAATTTTCATCCTATTAACTAGATGCTACCATTGCATATACGAGTTTCAAAAATCACAATTTTCAGGAATCGGGTTACGGGTAGGGAGGACAAGACCAATCCTACACTTCAACTGTGTCTAGCTCATTACACGGACTTGATGCTTTCATATTTCTTCCAATGGTGTATCATATACTAAAATTACTGCAAAACAATCCAAATACTCCATCCGTCCACTTTTAATTTTACAAAAAATAAAGAAGTATTTATTTCACAATTTTACCCATAACAACGATAAAATTTCCAAAAGTCTTAGGGAATGATTTCGGGTATGAGCAGTTAACGATGAGGGTAAAACAAAAAACAAAAATTGTCTTTCTCTTGATTTACTATAATGCACTAGTAAAAGTTAAAATATTTTTTTAGTATAGTGAACAAATAAAAGTGATTTAGTATAATAAACAAGTAAAAATTAAAATACTTTTTATTATAGTTAACAAGTAAGAGCGAATAGAAGAAATACTAATTTAGGGTGTGTTTGGTATGAAGGAAAATATTTTCTGGAAAATATTTTTTTCAATTTTCCCATGTTTGGTTGGCTTAAATGTTTTGGAAAACATTTTCCTTATGAACTCATTTTCCTCTAATTGGAAGAAAATATTTTCCTTATCAAGAGAAGGGAAAACATTTTCCAACACTCCTTCTCAACCTTCCCCACCCTCACCAACTCACCCCCAATACCCACCCACCCAACCCCATCCAACGCCCGACCCACCCCACCCCACCCCCTCACTTTTCTTCAAATTTTAGTTTTTTTTCCATCACCACCCACCCTGCTACCCCTCCCCCGCACAAAAAAGTTTTTTTTTAGTAATTTTTAAATTTCTGTTTTTTCGTTTTTCTGCACCACCCATCCACCCCCACCTCACCCCCCACTGCCCCCACCCCCCACGCCGCACAAATTTTGTTTTTTTTACTTTTTTTTTTGTAATTTAAAATTTTTCTCTCCCCCGAAAAAAATATTTTTTTAATATAATTTCAGTTTTAATTTTTTCATCTTTTGGTTTACAGGTTCGAAATTTTTAAAGTTCCAAAGTTATGAATTCGGAGGTTTATGTGTTTGAAAGTTTACGGATTTAGAAATCATAAAGTTTACGGGTTCGAAAGTTTAGCGGTTCGAAAGTTTATGAAATTTCTGGGTTCGGAAGATTGTTGGTTTGAAAGTTTATGGCTTCATGTTTATTATATCTAAATTATTTATAAATACTCTTGAGAAGTTATTTTACTTAATTTGCGTACCAAACACAAGAAAACGAATAAGATTACTACTTTTTTTCCAAAAAAATATTTTCTTAAAAAATATTTTCCACGAAAACATTTTCCATTATACCAAACACAATGGTGGAAAAAACAGTATGATTGAATTTTCGAGGAAAAAAAGAGCAAGTGAAAGATAAAGTGTTACTTATAAGGAAAAACTTAGCAATTGGACAAACTTATGGGACCCAAACCTATTAATCACATCTCTTACGACAGTTTCCACGCAAACTGTGAGTAGATCAAAAAACAAAGAATCAAACCTCTTAATTTTACCATGAATTTGAACATAGAATTTTTAAGTTTTTTAAAATAAAATTTACATATTTTAAATTATATATGAAAATATTATAATTCACGATTTAACAATTTAAAAGGCATATAAAAATATCACAATTAAAGAAAAATTATTTGACTCTCGAAATTCGAGTTTCATAATTGGGACGAGGAAGTAGTTGGTTAGTGTGAAGCTTTTGCCCGAACTTCTATCACTTCCAGTTTGATTCGTAGAGTTCTCTAACTTCAGACTTTATCTGTAATTATATGCATTTTTGGTGCTAATTTTATTTAAAATTTCTTCAATTGTCATGCACTGACAAGGAAAAGGATGAATTATTAACTCAGAAACGTACTTACATATTAGAATATGACTACATCAACTTGGATGAAAAAGCTCGACATCTAATTGAATATATGGAAAACAATACTAGGTTATCCCACATCAAAGAAATGTATTGCCATTTTGTTAATATTGTGACAGGATATTCTCTAGCAATGCAATTACAACTTCGAAATTGGAAAAGAGATAATGAGATGTAAAAAGCCGTCAATATATTTTTGAGACACTCAGTTACTTTCTTTGTCGAATAATGCTTTTCAATGTAGCCCTTCTGCTTACACAAGGATATATAATAACTTATGCTCACTTCTTTTGTCCTTAACGCTCTAATAAATTACTAATTATCATTACTGGAGTAGTAATTTAGTTAAATTCCAGTGCCAATATTGCAGTGATAGACTTTTAGAGCTCTACATCTTTAGAAACAAATATCATTAAAGAATAAATAATTCAACATAATATTTTAATTTTAGTTACGTAATAAAGATTATTTGTTTCCGTATACTACAGTTTAATTTACTTTCATTTGCAAGATAAATGGACATCAGAATCAAGCCGTAGTTTACACCTTTGTCCTATGATTATATCCTCATATTTCATATAAAGTTATAAACTCACTATTTTAGGTATTAGTATAACGTAAGTCCTTAGGCGTCGCTGTCTGTGCGGAATTAAGCAGAGTGACAGTGATTTAACTATTTAAGTTAATGTTTAAGTGGACTTGTACATATGTGTGGTGTACATATCTAGTCTAGTAGGATAGAATATAGATAATGGTTGGGTAGATTCTATGGATATCATTATCCAAAAACATGAAACTTATGGGATGTGGACCATTATATTTCTTGAACACCTCATATCAAGAGAAGGAAAATGATAACAACTCGTCAACTTGCATGAAAGACAAGTTTGCTGTTTTCTTTCTTGTTATTTATTAAACTTGTGCGCCTAAAGAAAAAGAAAGAATTCGTCATAAAACAATTAGTGTCATTTTCGTCCTTATGAGAACCAATTAAAGGGAACTTGGATTAGCTTCTTTTGCTTTTCTCATATCTATATGCCGAAAGTAAAGTTTTGCTAATTTTTAAAAGATGAGTTTTGACATCTTTGTTCCGGTTTTAGACTCTAGAAAGAGACAGAGAACAATCACTAGGTCTCCTGCCTTTGTATTTAATTAACAAGATTTCACCAATTACTTTTTTTTCCTCTTTCCCAGCCCTTTTGATCCCGTAAAAAGAAATAAAAAAAGAAAAAAACTCATTAAATTAGTAAACACAGATATATATCATGAAACAGAAGCGACCAATGGTCCACCCACTGCCAGTGCAACTTAGAGGAGTTGCTTTTGGGCCTGTTACTTTTTTGTGATGTTGTGACCACCCAACAAAACATATATATATAGGCATGTGCAGGCATGGGAAAAAGCTTACCCCCCCTTTTTTTTTTCTAGTATTAAACCTATTTGGGGTTGTTTGGTAGGGGAACAAATTAATTCTGGAATTAAAATGATAAGATTATAATACGATAATTTTGGTATACTTGAAAAATGAAATATAAAGAGTATAATATAAATATATATTTGGTGTATACTAGATAAGTTGGGATAAACATTTATTTTTATTTTGACCTTGGATTGTTTATAAATCTTTGGGGAAAGAGCCTTGAATAAGGGCATCTTTGTTATTTTAGTGCTTATATCCGGATTAACTAATCCCGGGATTATTATCTCACCCTCAAAGTGAGATAGAATAATACCATAATTTTGGGATTAATTAATCGGGGATCGCTAATTCTAGATTCAAAAATTCAATCAAACGCGAGATAAAATAATTTTGTGGCATCTATTTTCGAGTTTATTATCTCTTATCCCACGTATCAAACAACCCCTTACATTACATTATTTTAGACAGCTCTATTTTACATATGTAGTCTGGACAATCTTCAGATAATCGTAACTATCTCATGTGCTATAGTCCATAACCCCTTTTATAGACTCCTGTTCGAACGTTTTCAAAGAGATTTTAGATATTTGGAATCCTGTTCGAACATTTTCAATATTATCCTTTTTAGAATATGAATTAGCGCGCTATTGTAGAAAGAAAAAAAAAAGGTCTAAAGACCAATAATCATATGGTCTTATAAAGATCACTAGCAACCTTATAAAGATCCCGAACCCCCTTAACCACTAAGCTAAGCTTCTGAGTTGAATTAAGGAGATTCAAAATATAAAATATAGAGAGAAAATCGGATTTTACCTTATATGTATAGTATAATTTTCCGACGAAGGGCGTTCGGTTCGGCCCCTTAAATCTGCTCCTGAATTCATATGTGAAATGCTAATGCAAAATAAGCTAGCGGATCATATATCACATGACAGTTATACGACTAGTAAGTACTACTAACGTCTGTAATGGACAGTTTCAGTCAGTCACATGCGTACCTAATCCGCTGAAAGGTCTGCCATTCATGACACAAACAAAAGGAAACACTTAGCTATATTGGTGGCCTGTGACCATTCTTGCAGTGAAAGATTATTAAAGTATACCTATAATAGACCTAGATTATAATATTGTATATGTAATAAAAAGTATACTAGTTCATCTCATTTATATGATGGAGTTTTAATTTTCAATTTGCTTAAATATAAGTTGAAAAAAATTAATACTGGTTTAACAAATTAAAATCTACTTTAATACTATCACAATATGAGATAATTGAGAAATATTATTGGTATCTTATCCTGCTATTCATACCTAAAGCTGCCCATGATAATAAATTAATGATGTATTGGCACAATTTATCAAGTCATTTTCACGTAAGATTCTTTTTCTCCTTAGTGATAGCAACATAAATCAAATCCTTGTTTGTATTAGTTTTCCAACGCTGAATAAGGATATTTCGATAAGATAAGGGATAACGCAAAAGACGTTGATATTAGTCTGAATATATACGTACACGTATACATATATTTGTATTTGTATAGTCTAAAATTTACCTGGCCAATTTGTTCCCACAAGGAGGCGTTAAAAGAAGCAGCAGTAGTGATGACTTGAGGGAAGCTGGTGGCGCCAGGGAAGGCACCACCGAACTTAACGCCCGGGCCGGTGCTGGAGACGCCGTGAAGTGCCTCGGACCACCACTCATAGCCATTAACACCCAGCCTCTCCACCGGTGCAGCATTGTTCACCAGCAACCTGATCTTCTCCTGCAACGTTAATCGTTTGATTAAGTCCTGGACACGCACGTGTATTGGCAGAGACGCCTTGCAGAATGGCAGGTTTCGCGTCCCCGCATTGGCGGGGTCGCATGCAAACGGTGGCCGCGAATCGCCGGAATATGCAAAGGCATGGATGACAAGGACAATATTGAGAATAAAAATAGTACTACTAGAATACTTGTGATTCATAATTATTAGGAGTACGTACTATTATGTATGATATGTAATAATAAATGAAAATAATTGTAAGAATAGATCTGCTGCTATTCGTATTGTTAACATACATATATAACAAAATAAGAGTTGCTTGGAGAAATTGAGGAGAGTTTGAAGGGTATATATAGAGGAGGTTGCGTTTAAGATGGTGGCAATAGCGTATGAATATGAAACATGAAAGATGGTATAGTTGGGGGATTAGGAAGGAGTAATCTTTGAGCTATCTTATTAAAAGGAATATAATGGCTTTAACTTATATGTTTTACAATATTAGTGTCGTTTATATACCTATATATAATAACATGTTACTTATCATTGTTATCAGATACTATTATATACGTAATATATTTCATAGTGATTTTCTTATAAATACCTTAATTGCATAAATATTTTTACACAATACATCTATTTATCTATATCTATACCTATACTATATTAAAAGTACGAAACCCCTTAGTAAAATATCGTTTGCCTTTTTTGCCCTTTCAAAATAGATTTTACACTGGATATAATAGTCATTTATAATAATTATTTTCTAATATTTAGAACTTCAAAATCAATTAAAATTTATGTGTTACATCATTCCTTATTTGAATCATGTAGGAGGCGTAATAGTGCAACGAATCAAGAATCACATCTTCCAGTATGTTGCCTTCGTTAAACGACTTCGCAATTGAAGATTTCCTTGAACATATATTTTTTTTCCTTTTTCATCAAGTCTATTTATTTGCAGTGTATTTATGTCAGTTTATCCTTCATTTCCTTGCCTTTTATTTGAGTTTTTTTTTTGGTCTAAAAATAATATTAGTTGCACATAATTCTGGCATCATGTCTAGGCATCATTCTTCATGCCATAGAGTGTGGTAAGTTGTTTTTAACTAATAATGAAGATGCCCATAGCGCCCTAATTTTTTTTCAAACTCCTATTAGAGAGGATGAAGTGAAGGATAATATTAGCTTTTGGGGTAAGGAATATATATCAGTGTCAATAAGATTTCGGACATATTTCACTATTATAGACATAATGTTTTAATTAGGCATTCCCACCCGTTTTCTACATGAGTTAGTTTTTATTTTTTACAACTTTGATGCAGTAATTATTATATTCTTAAAGGTTTAACTGGAAAGCATAGTCTTTCAACAATTTTATTAGTAAATCATCCCTTGTTTGAATTAGATAGGAAATTCTAATATTTAATACTTTAAATTTAATTTATCTTTTAATAATATTTTAAAAAAGAAATAATTAACTTCGAACCATATTTATAATGCAAAAGCATTGTAACACGAAGGACAAGATTTTTTTCATAAAACGTATAACATATATATTCCTAAACTGGTAGTAGAATTATCGTGATATGGTTACGTGATATGAAATTCATGGTGTAATTTAGCAATCAAAACCTACTTTTCGAATATATTGGTAAAACTCATACTAAGTAAATAGCAGTTTGCATTAAATGGGGGCATGTACGCCACAACACACCCATATATTTATATTAAAAATATACTATTGATATCATGCAGGTTATTTTTAGTAGGAACAGTAGCTATGCTGAAATAAAGTACGAGTGAAATTAATAATATGAATTTTTCATAGAGAATTGCCAATTGGTTAGTGAATTGTAATTTTTGTCTACNTATATATATGTATATATACAAAATTTCTAAATTTTGTGGTACACGTTAGTTGATAATAGGTGAATTTGACTATAATCACGCACCAAATAATCACCTTCTTGTGAACTTTTAATGTGGAAAATGACAACAAAATGCTCTTATTAGTGCTTTACATGATTTGCAGGTGAAATAGGTGTAAGGAAGGCTAAGGAGCGGTTTTGGAGTCAATTATTGATGAAAAGAGGCTAATTGTTGAATTTCCAAAGTAACCCATTCAAAACAGGCCAAAATGCCCGGGTACAAGTTCCACCGCGGTTCTACCGCGACCGCGGTGAAACCGCGGTGGAAGGCAGTCTCTGAAGGTTGAAGATTCCGCGAAGGCGTTTGACCGCGGTTCTACCGCGACCGCGGTAGAACCGCGGTGGGCACAGTAAACTTCGGGGACTTAAGTGTAAAACACGGGATTTTTAGACCTAAACCCTATTTAAAACGCTAGACTTCGCCCAAAAGAGGCAGCTATTGATTTCTAAGGGTTCTTAGCAAGAAAAACAATTGTGAGAAAGTACTCTAAACATCTTTCTTCTTTTCTTTTGATTTTATGATGAATTCAATCTTAGTTTATTCTCCCATAGTCATGAGTAGCTAAATTCCTTGTCTAAGGCTTTGATGGACCCTATTGAGTGATGAACTTCTTGTTTATGTGAATACAAATTGCTAGTTAAATCTTTATTTGTTCAACTTCGTGTTCGTTGTAGTTAATTGACAGGATCCTCAATTAGCTGTGCCTATTTAGTGTGCATAACTTGGAAAAGAGTGCATATTTAGGGTATTGTTGAACAACACCACTCCTAGATTATTAGAGGAATCTATAATTGCGGGTTTAAAGGCGGGATTAGGAATAACGAAGCCTTGGGTGCAATTTAAATTGAATTGTGCGAATTTAAGCAAGCTAGTGTATCTCGGGAGAGTGCAATAGTAGATTACTGTGATTACTCGGGAGAGATTTGCGGTAAGATTAGCGTTCAAGATTGATAGAGATGTGTGGGTAAATTTGTATGAGCATAAACAGAAGGGATTTCATCAATAGGGGAAATCATTGCCTTAGCCTTTTTTCATAATTGTTTACAACCCTTCTAATTTAGTTATAGCCTTTTATTTACTTGCAAGTTAGTTATTAAAGAACAATCAACTGAGAATTTGAATATTTGGGAAGCTGGTTCTGAAGACTTGGTGGGTCTGAAGGTAGCAGTTGATAGGTTAACTCTCTGTGGGATTCGACTCCGGACTTGTAAACCGGATTATATTTGCAGCGACCGCATTGTCCTTTTATACGGCATAGTTGGGCGTGATCAGTATGTTTGCAGAATTTTCATATTTTCGAGAGAACATAAATGATTAAAGTAATTCTTTTCAATTCAAATCGGACTTACTTTTAAAAAAATTCATAAGAACGGATTTTAAGTTGAATATATTAACCGAGATGTTTGAGAGCTTATTTGGGGCATAGTTCTTTATTTATCAAATTAGCTAAATAGGACCAACTATTATTTTTTTCAAGAACTTATTTTTTTTTTGAACTTTTATTTTATAATTCAAATATAATGCTTATAATATTTATATAATTTTTAATATTGCATATTGTCGAAATGGAGTACACACGCAACGCGCGTATCATGATACTAGTCTATATTAAAAGCATGAACGCCCTTAGCGAAATGTCGTTTGTCTTTTCTACCCTTTAAAAAAGGTTTCACATTATACAAATTAGTCATTTAAGTTAAGTTTTTTTCTTTCTAATATTTAGCACTTTAAAATCAACTAAAATTTTGCTTACTAAATTGTTCCTTATTTGACTATAGGAGTTTAAAAGCAAATTAATTAAAATTTTACCTTATATAAACTCCGTTTAAATTCCAACCCCCCTCTTTCTCCGGCGAACTCCTCACGATCCCTTCCGCCGGCGATATTGGCTTTGTGTACGTTCTCTCTCTCTCTCTCTCTCTCTCTCTCTCTCTCTCTCGATCTCTCGATCGAATGTGAATGTTGCAATGCTTTGTGTCTTCTCCGATTGGGTAATCTGTTTATGACAACTGTTTGTGATTGTCACAACTTATAAACTAGCATTTATGAATCCTGAATGCGGAGTTGCTTCTCTAAAAGGAATCTTTTCAATAATAACCACGCGATTCTTCTCTCTCTCTCTCTTCAAAACCTAACGGTCATTTCCACTTCTACCGGCGAATCCCTCCAGCGCCGGCACCGCCGTTGACGAGCAACCCAGGTAAGCACCACCCCCTCCTCCCTCTCTCTGCTCTCTCCCTATTATCTCTCTACGTCGTTTTTCTTTCTACCCCCTCCCTTTTTTCTCTCTCCCCTTTCATAACCCTAGCGGCAGACTTTTTCCGGTGACCATCCCACCGCCAATGCCGCCCATTCTTTCTTCTTTGTAGTTCCGGCTGTAGTCCCACCTCCCAACCCCCTTTTCCGGTGCTCCTTCTTTGTTAAACTTGTTTTTTGGTTCCGTGGTGTTTATGTGTTTTGCAAGTATCATTTTTGTGGCTGTTTGGTGATGGTAGGGAGGTGCACGCGCAAAAGCAGCAGAGCAGCAACTATACGTCGGGTTCCACAGCATCGAGAGTATAGCAAATCGAAAGTCCAGGTTCTATTCGCGGGAATTGGTACCTCCCCTCTCCCGTTTCTCTATCTCATGTGTTAGTTACTTTGTTGCCGTAGTAATTCATACTAGTCTAGTCAGTCTAGTAGTGGGCTTGTAGTTACTATTTATTTCCTTCGAGTCCCCTGTTTGTGTGTTCCCTTTATTGTTCTGTGTTGGCACTTTTTTTTAGTCTTTCTTAGGTATAACGACTGTGGCTTGTAATGGCAGAGTAGGGTCATGTCCACGGGGAGGGCGGGCGGTAGGGAGGGGGGTAGGGCAAGGGTCAGGGGGTAGGACGGGGCCCTATGGGGAACAAGGGCGCCTGTAGGTTGAGAATTAGATCGTGGAATATAGGGACGTTGACGAGTAAGTCTATAGAGCTGGCAAAGATTCTCCAAAAGAAGAAGGTCAATATAGCGTGTGTAGGAGACTAGGTGGGTAGGATCGAAGGCGACAAATGCAGACGGGTATAAATTATGGTACTTCGGAGTCGTGAAGGCAAGAACGGAGTGGGTATTTTGGTGGATAGGGAGTTCAGAGAGTCAGTGGTAGAGGTTAGGCAGGTGAATGACAGAATGATGGCAATTAAGTAGTTGTTGGAGGGAGCACTCTAAATGTCATTAGCCCTTACGTGCCGCAAAATGGGTCTGGACGAGGAGG